AGTCTCGTTGTTGTTATCACGTAACAGTACCTTACTGATACCTGTGCATGCCATACTATAACTTCAATTGCATGCACTGTTAAAAAAATGTTAAAAGGACAACGAGTACATCTTACGCTCTCAAACCGAATGCAGTTACGTTGCCTCTGCTTCACTTTTAAAAGCCTGTCGAAGACATATTGAAGTCATCCGTTTCTTTGTTCTTATTAGTACAAAGTTTGTTTAACATAAACGTGTAACAAGTAACAGGTCCGTTCCGCGCAAGTTACACAAAAAGCAAAACGAAACAATTTAGTTAATTTTTTTTTCTATTTCTTTCGTAGACAAAAATAAACATTTCGGCTTGGCCAACTCGAAAAAATAAGAAATTAAAAAACAGGCCACTAACCTTCCTGAACACTACAACTTTGATAGGAAGAACTCAAGGGGATGATAGCTCTTACGGGAAACGGTTAATTTTTTTCCCATTTTAAAGCTATCGGTTAACCCAAAATGAAACAATATACACATTCTATTGAGATGAAAAACGTTAACGGCGAACTTTCTTACGACCAACGGTTAAAATTTGTCAATTTTTTTGGCCTGACGGTTTTTTTTAGCGATATCTGTCAACTGTTATTGAAATAAATTTTAAGCCTGTGCCTTTTACTAGCAGTAAATTTCAAAATAACTGCCCAAGGACTTTTCACTATTAAATCAACCAGGAGCCCACCAGCTTCTGCTAATCTAGGTAGAAGAGAGTATTTTGGGGGCCACGGTTTTAGCTAAAAACCGTGGTTGTTGTTTTACAACTACTGTTCGCAGAGTGCTGCTCACTTGTTTAGTTTTAAAAATAATTAATTAAAAAAAAGACGTTAATGGGGCCAAGTCATGCATTTAAATTCAGCGTTAGGCTTTTGAACCTTCATTGCTCTGCAGAGTTCATTAATGTGACACTAAATCAAAAATCAATACATTCACCAATGTTCTCCGAGGTCAACTTACTAAGATCTTAAGCTATAAATATGACTATCAGACAGTTTGTTACCCTTGTCACTTCATTGTTAGATGTCCATCATAACAATAATTACGCCTTTTTGAAGGATGTTACAGCTCAAGAAAGAGCCTTTTTCGGATGCTTTTAATGTACCGAACACTTCGTCTTCATCTTTCCACACTGATAACTAGGACTTTTAAATGTCTATATCCGAAACTTCCCGAGACATTGTAACACTTTTATCAATTTTTAAGGACCTCGACGCTCATCCGATATTCCAGGCCCTCCCGGTCTGCCAGGGAGCTGTGTGCGATCAGCGCCATCCAACACCATTACCCCACGGTATTTTACGTACCAATTAAACAAGGTCTTAAAGCAATTAAAGGGAACAAGGGAAGCCGTGGATTACTAGGCCACCATGCATGGGCCTCGAGGCCAACGAGGAAGTAGGGGCAACGAAGACCCTCTAGGAAAAAGGGTGACACTGGGCCCCCAGGGATGAATAGAAGTGAGTAGTTCGATAAATATCCCGAGGTCCATTGTGGTAGGAGAGAATTCTTCCAAGGTTTCAGTCTGGAAGAAAGCGATGCTCGCGGGCAGAGAAGATACAAATATACTTGTTGTACACTTAGACTGGTCCTTGAAAAGCTCAGCAAATGAACTTGAAGACCAAAACAAACAGCCAACAAGCAATGACTCGACTCTCAACAAATGATGGACGGAAATTTCGATTGATGACAAATTTGACGATAGTATCTCTGAAGAAACATGAGATACGATAAAAGGATTTTTTATGCATTGAAAAGAAGATACGTATAGCTAAATGCTTGTGGGATAATTATTGCTCCTGGCGTAGACCATTCCATTGGATGTAGTCTTCCGTAGAAATTATAGATAAATAGTCATAAAGAAACATAGGTGACGTGCAGTCGGCTTTGTATAAGCATTGCACTAAAAGATAGACGGGAAAATATTTGCCTCCAAATCATCCTAGTTTTTTAAGAAATAAGAACATGTATCATCATGCCATATTTACCATAATGGCGGGTAGCTGTACATAGTACGGAGTGAATTAAGATTTAATTTTTTTTTTTGTTATAAGGGTGTGGGCTATCAGCTGGGCACTAATGCGAGCATTGATTTGCCTCCAGTAAGCAAATGAGGTACAGGACAGTTCCAGATCATTAGAATTACCTAACCACACTTAAAAAAATGTGACAGTTACGATGTCAGAGCCTTAGATTATAAAAAAAAACGCCGTTTTTACTACTGTCATTGTAAGAGTTAACGGAAGAAGGCTATAGAAGCTTGCGCTGCACGCGCACTTGAGTGATTGGACAGAAGTCACCCTGAGTTACCGAATTCTGGACCATTCATTCTAGTGTCGATGTTTCTATCGCACAACAAGTTTTTTTTTTTAAACCAAATTTCAAGGCGTTGAGCGTCAGGTGACAAGTGTCCTAGTAGAGTCACACGAGGCTGCTAAAATATTTGCTTCGAGAAGGAAATATTGAGGCAGTCTCTCAAAATGGAAGTTAATTTTCCGAGAATTCCTCAATAGGCTTACCTCGATCAAAAGTTTACATAACAATAAACGGTGAAATGGCGGAGAGGGTAGAGATTGCTTTTGCGATGAATGCCACTTGGTAAAAGAAGGAAAGGGATAATTCTAAAAATAACCGAGGTGGAATAGATATATCCCGGCCAAAATCCTGATTCTCCCTCTCTGTCCCACTGTTTTTTCTCGGTGGCACTACGCTCTAATTCAATTGCCCCCGAATTGGAACACGCACGTGTACGTACGTCACAAATCGCTTGCTGTTTCTCTTGACGAGTGCTATGAATAGTGGCGTTTGTTTCTCATTGGCGCTTAAAGCTACCGCCACCTTCAACAGTTCTGTACAAGTCTTCGCTGACCTGAACAATCAGACTACACTACGTACAAACAAAAAGACAGTGCAGTGGGAACATGCTTATATGTGTTTTGCATTATGGGGAAATAGCCTTAGTCCGTGAAACAAAGCAACGGGACGAAAATATAAAATGCAATGAGAGCGATGTTAGGTCTCGCGAATAACTTTCAAGATAATTATTTTCAAGGACAGATAAACATTTTATCTACGACGTATCATTTGATGTTTAATTGTGGTCAAACTTCAAAGAACCTTTTATCGAGCGCACGCTTAAAGTCATACCCTAAGGAAAGGGAAACTAAACGAGGGGAACTAAAACTTATTGAAAAGATTCGAATTCCCCTCGAGAAATCGAATTTCATTCCTTCCAATTTCGCAAAGGATGTAATAAACAATGATCACCTACAACTGCATCCATCCAGAAAATCACAAAGCATGAGCTTCGAATCCTTCATTGTTCAGGGTATCCCTATACAAGATGTTACCGTGCTGAGTTGCATCATCAGGGCCCGGTTGTTCAAAGGTTGGATAACGCTATTCACTGGATAAATCGTTATCTGGTGGATAGCGCAGTACGTCTTCTTAACAGTTATCCACTGAACATTCATTTATCCGTTGGATAGCGTTAGCCACTCTTTAAAAAACCGGGCCCATATCTATAACAAAGGACATTCTGTTAGTGAATTTTTATTTTCACATGATAGCAAAGTCAAAGAGGTTACAATAACTTTCTAAGTCACTTACTGTACCTAACTCGCTACAAAAACTATCCCAATAGAAAGGGCTTGGTGAAAGAAGAATCCAACTCGAGGAAATTTAAAAGACCAAAGAATCTTGACATGATATCAAAACTCTCTTCTAAACACCAAAAACCAAAATTAAAAACTTTAATAAAGAAAATGAGTATGAAAGCGATCTTCGCTGTAACGAAGTTAAAATGAAGTATATATACACATATGATTGTCATACATTCATAGTTATAACCTACAAACTTTAACGTTCAATTTGCATAGAAAACTGCCTTGATTCTACAATTAACCAAGAAAGGAAATTGCAACTTAAAAGTGAACTAAATTTTACAATGAAAACGAAACATTTGTAAGATTCATATTGAAAACCATCACGAACACGGTCTCTTAGCGAGATAAACTGCTTCGCTCTACAAATAAAGTACATGATCCTTTGAAATAAATTCTTCGTGAACAAATCTTCGAGGTTTAACTTCTGTCTATTTATTCCAGAAAGAATTGAAGAATTCGCTACAATTTTTAACTGAGGAAGTGCGCACTACTTCTTGAGTCTTTTGAAATACTTCAACTACTTAAATCGTAATCAGAAAACGGGAATTAATGTTTTAAAATTCAATTGTAAGTCCCAAGTACGATCTACCATAGTTCACCCACTATTCTGCAACACAATGACAGACAATATCGTTACATGCGGAGATAATCAGGACGTTTAAAACCAAGCTATATCGTTGAAATACTGAGGAAGTTCGTATCGCCGGAGAAGTTGGTTCCAAATCGTTGGCAAAAACCATCAGCAAGCATCTTGTCTCTTCTACAAACAGGATAAGAGGTGTCTGAAAGGTAAATAGAAAATATTCATTTTAACGTAGGTTTGAATACACTCCTAAAGTAAGACCTGTTTAAGACACCGATATTTGTAGAATTATCAGAAATCGAAGGAGTCAGCGCAGAGAACGATGAACATTTTCGATGCAAGCTATGCGTGGCAACAACACCGATGAGCAAATATTCCTTTCACTCATTTTGATATACATTGAACGCAAACTGAGATTGATATCACGTCACTATGTTTATCATCATACATCCTTGGAAAAGTTTTGGTTAAGGTCTTCTTTCAAACCGGGATATCATTCTTCTGCTCATTGCAAATCATAGGTTGTTACTGCGTGACTAAAAACAAATCATCTTTGAAGGCATAAGAGCCGTTGCAGCTAGCTGCTCAGAGCACTAAAATTGAATGGCAGAAACTTATACCTTGGCATGATAACTTCCCTTCATGCAAATATGACGAGGGCTTAATTCAAAATATATCATCAAATAATATTTGCCTACTTACATTTGATAATACGTAAACTCCTATCTTCAATTTAATTCCAGTGTGACGTCATCCCCAATGAGTACAAAGGGTGCCCAGTACTTCACATCGCTGAACTCTTCAGACTCTTTCATACTCTTCATAGCTTGGTTAAGAGCTTCACTTGCACGCTTCCCAGTAACCAATTCTTCATAGAAATGTTTCATAAACACAAGAGTAGCCTCGTCATCGATCGCCCACAGCGACACGAGAACAGAGCGAGCACCAGCACCCAAAAACGCTCTTGCAATTCCAACAACTCCCTCAGCCTTAATCTCCCCACGACCACTGTGACAACAACTTAACACAACCAGCCTTGCTCGTATCCGGATATCCAGCACATCTTTCATTGTTAGAATAAAATCCTCCTCAACAAAGGGCTGTGATGAGCAAGTACTTCGTGGCGCTAAGGCAATTTCGCCTGTTTCCATTCGGCCATGTGCAGCAAAGTGCACCAAGGCCACAGAGGGAAGTCGCCTCAAAACTTCATCTTTTTTTGCTTCTTCACCAATAAGCGGATCAGCGCCAAGGATTCTCCCGATGATCACTACTTCTTCTCTCGCACGTGGCAATGGATCGAGCTTCCTCTCCTCGAAAATAACCCCCTCCAAACATGGATCACCCACTAGTAAAGCACTTTTCTTATTGTGGAAGTCGTCTGAGCAATCGTTTATCAACTTCAATGTTGTCAAGGATGGAATCGTCCGAACTCGGAAAGAGTCGCACAAATAATTTGACTCGGAATCCATTAATGCAGCAAAAGGGACTGACCACAATGAACTCTCGGGAACAAAGATAAGTTCATTGCCATTGATGAGATCACCAATCGGCTCAATGATAACGTCATACAAGATCCGTAAAGCAGCTGTCGGGGAGCATTCAGGAAAGAAATAAGCATGACCTGACCTTTTCTTCACCAATTCTTCAGTGCAGGGCTCATCAAGAGAGCTATCTTCGCATTTAATAACACCTCTTTTAAACTCTCTTGATGCTGTGTTCATTAAGCGTCCAATAAAGGTATCGACGTCTTCGAACGAGCCATAATTACTTATTTCAATACTTCTCAATTTAATGTCTTGGAAGCTGTTCATAAACCAGTGGAATATCTTGCGTTCCTTGTTATCCACAGCCATAAAAACTGTATTTGAAACAGCGCCGCTTTGAAGGACCTCAAAATCAGAATCCCCTTGAGTGTGAGGCCGAGGCTGTATTTCTTCCAACCCATACCTAAAACAAATGAGATCATTAAGAGCCTGTGCGCGTCGCTGTTCAGCAGATAGTAGCGCATCCAAAATTTGATTTTGTTTTATAAGAAGACGCCACAAACAAATATATGCCTTTCTCTGCATGTCGCGGAAGCTAATCTTCCAATCATCTCTGAACCGCAGATTGGCTCGGATAGCGTCACACATTACCACACAAAAACGATACAGGTTGACAGCTCTTTCGAAATCTCCTAGGCTATCATAAGCATTGCCGAGATTGCAGTAACTGTTTCCCTCTCCAGCCTTGTCTCCCACTTCTTTGGCAATTTTTAGATGACGTTCATGATACTGGATGGCTCTTCTGAAATCTCCTCGGCTATCATAAGCATTGCCGAGATTGCAGTAACTGTTTCCCTCTCCAACCTTGTCTCCCACTTCTTTGGCAATTTTTAGATGACGTTCATGATAATGGATGGCTCTTTCGAAATCTCTTAGGCTATCATAAGCATTGCCGAGATTGCAGTAACTGTTTCCCTCTCCAGCCTTGTCTCCCTCTTCTCTGACAAATTTTAGATGACGTTCATGATAATGGATGGCTCTTTCGAAATCTCTTAGGCTATCATAAGCATTGCCGAGATTGCAGTAACTGTTTCCCTCTCCAGCCTTGTCTCCCACTTCTTTGGCAATTTTTAGATGACGTTCATGATACTGGATGGCTCTTTCGAAATATCCGAGGCTATGATAAGCATTGCCGAGATTGCAGTAACTGATTCCCTCTCCAGCCTTGTCTCCCACTTCTTTGGCAATTTTTAGATGACGTTCATGATACTGGATGGCTCTTTCGAAATCTCCTCGGCTATGATAAGCATTGCCAAGATTGCAGTAACTGTTTCCCTCTCCAGCCTTGTCTCCCACTTCTTTGGCAATTTTTAGATGACGTTTATGATACTGGATGGCTCTTTCGAAATCTCCGAGGCTATGATAAGCATTGCCGAGATTGCAGTAACTGTTTCCCTCTCCATCATTGTCTCCCACTTCTTTGGCAATTTTTAGATGACGTTCATGATACTGGATGGCTCTTTCGAAATCTCCTAGGCTATGATAAGCATTGCCAAGATTGCAGTAACTGATTCCCTCTCCAGCCTTGTCTCCCACTTCTTTGGCAATTTTTAGATGACGTTCATGATACTGGAAGGCTCTTTCGAAATCTCTTAGGCCATCATAAGCCTTGCCGAGATTGCCGTAACTGATTCCCTCTCCAGCCTTGTCTTCCACTTCTTTGGCAATTTTTAGATAACGTTCATGATACTGGATGGCTCTTTCGAAATCTTCGAGGCTATGATAAGCCTTGCCGAGATTGCAGTAACTGATTCCCTCTCCAGCCTTGTCTCCCACTTCTTTGGCAATTTTTAGATGACGTTCATGATACTGGAAGGCTCTTTCGAAATCTCTTAGGCCATCATAAGCCTTGCCGAGATTGCAGTAACTGATTCCCTCTCCAGCCTTGTCTCCCACTTCTTTGGCAATTTTTAGATAACGTTCATGATACTGGATGGCTCTTTCGAAATCTCCGAGGCTATGACAAGCATTGCCGAGATTGCAGTAACTGATTCCCTCTCCAGCCTTGTCTCCCACTTCTTTGGCAATTTTTAGATGACGTTCATGATACTGGATGGCTCTTTCGAAATCTCTTAGGCCATCATAAGCATTGCCGAGATTGCAGTAACTGATTCCCTCTCCAGCCTTGTCTCCCACTTCTTTGGCAATTTTTAGATGACGTTCATGATACTGGATGGCTCTTTCGAAATCTCCGAGGCTATGATAAGCATTGCCGAGATTGCAGTAACTGTTTCCCTCTCCAGCCTTGTCTCCCACTTCTTTGGCAATTTTTAGATGACGTTCATGATACTGGAAGGCTCTTTCGAAATCTCTTAGGCCATCATAAGCCTTGCCAAGATTGCAGTAACTGATTCCCTCTCCAGCCTTGTCTCCCACTTCTTTGGCAATTTTTAGATGACGTTCATGATACTGGATGGCTCTTTCGAAATCTCCTAGGCTATGATAAGCATTGCCGAGATTGCAGTAACTGATTCCCTCTCCAGCCTTGTCTCCCACTTCTTTGGCAATTTTTAGATGACGTTCATGATACTGGATGGCTCTTTCGAAATCTCTTAGGCCATCATAAGCCTTGCCGAGATTGCAGTAACTGATTCCCTCTCCAGCCTTGTCTCCCACTTCTTTGGCAATTTTTAGATGACGTTCATGATACTGGAAGGCTCTTTCGAAATCTCTTAGGCCATCATAAGCCTTGCCGAGATTGCAGTAACTGTTTCCCTCTCCAGCCTTGTCTCCCACTTCTTTGGCAATTTTTAGATGACGTTCATGATACTGGATGGCTCTTTCGAAATCTCTTAGGCCATCATAAGCCTTGCCGAGATTGCAGTAACTGATTCCCTCTCCAGCCTTGTCTCCCACTTCTTTGGCAATTTTTAGATGACGTTCATGATACTGGATGGCTCTTTCGAAATCTCTTAGGCCATCATAAGCCTTGCCGAGATTGCAGTAACTGTTTCCCTCTCCAGCCTTGTCTCCCACTTCTTTGGCAATTTTTAGATGACGTTTATGATACTGGATGGCTCTTTCGAAATCTCCTCGGCTATGATAAGCGTTGCCAAGATTGCAGTAACTGATTCCCTCTCCAGCCTTGTCTCCCACTTCTTTGGCAATTTTTAGATGACGTTTATGATACTGGATGGCTCTTTCGAGATCCTCTAGGCTCTCATAAGCATTGCCGTTATCACTATCTTTAGTTCGCCTTGACATTGCTGTGGATGACGTTATGGTTTCTTCATTGTTTTCTTTTAAGATGACACTTTCCTCCTCGTTTTTATTTTCACTATATACCAAGTCTTCGATTGAGGGAAGAACTGTAACTAGAGAGCAAGATGAAAAAAATAACCACTCAAAAATTGGTCAAAAAATTTATGATACTTACATTAGAAACTAGTCTGTTGAACTCACTGTTTAAATCCCTATAGGTTTTTCTTTTATTTTGCAACCGCTTTTACAATGGAATTAGCTTATGGTGGGATGTTTTTCCATAATACTTGTGGCTCTCCAAACTCAACATACTGTATGCTTATACATAATTCCGAACGTAATTGCCAAAGTAAAAAGAATTCTTACTCAATTGTTGAGATTACCAAGCGTTGCGGTCCGGTTATTTAAACGATTTATTACACATACCTGCTCAGAGAAATCAACGCTTAGATCAAACGCTTGGCTATCGTAAACTTCAATTAGAACATGGTTTTGCTAAATAATGGTTTTGTAATACATGGTTGGAGTGTTACCATAGTAATCAGGGTTCTCCTGGTCAGATGATGCACTGGATGATAACTCAACATCCGCCGAATAGCCACCCTCCAGCTGATTGGCATGTTTTTCGTCAGTATCCTGATCTGTTCGCAATTAGGGTAAAAATACGTGGTCAATGAACTGAGATCGATGTAAAAAAAGAAATTTCAAATTATAAAGTTTATGCATCGTTTAAAGTTTTAGTGACAAACGTTAGATGGTGGGCTACGGGTACACCCTTTTTACTTACTCATCTTCGTTTGGGCTTCCTCAGTAGCTTTCACGAGCTCTAACCAATCCACCGTCCGACTAAACTGTTTGCCATTCTGGATCTCTCGAGAGAACCTGCTCAAGGAGCAATACAAACAGTGCAAATCTCAATGAACCCACGTCAACGATTATTTTCCTTTACTTACAACAGTGAGAATTAAAAGCTACTCAGTACTGTAGAGATTTTCACAAAATAAGGAGTTGATTCCAATAAATGGATTATGATATCTGGCACTTGTTTTGATGAAGCAAGCTTGGAGTTAACAATTGTTGCACTTGTGCTCAAGATGCAGTTGAGCATTAGGTGTCTGCTCTCTGCCACTGTCATTTTCTTCCATGGAGAGCTTTTGCTTACTGATCGTTTCATGGTGCAGAAATAGGTGAATGGCAGTTTAAAATTAAGAAACCTCTTAGCTGACCACGCTGCGAATAATAGAGCGAGGTGAGAAAGACTAAAGAAAGGCAGATGCATTATAGTTAACGTTTCTTCTACTGCACTTCAAAAAACTTTACCTATTTGTTATTTCTTCAAGGTAATTGACAATCTCGTCGTTGCCAAAATCCCTCGCAACAGACTCTGGCAAAGTAGCGTTGTCCTTGTAAGAATTAAATAACACTCCTCCAGCAGAGGAATTAAAGATGATTTCGATGAACTCCTTAGCACCATATCTTGCTGCTGTATAAATCAGGATTTCCAACGCATGGGATGGCTGTGAGGATCCTGAAACATTGCACGTTATGAACGTTATCATGAGACAGGATTCTTAGACTTACCTCATAGTGCTATGAATTTGGCGACAAAAATACTTTCAACATAACACCGTGACATTCGTCACAAATAAACTCACCAAAAGCCTCACTGATTTGTTTTCCACATCGTTTGTTTCGACCTCCACTATTTCTATTACCACTGTCTCCACTTTCACGGTTTCCAGAGTTTCCACTTCTTCGATGAATGAACGTCTCATAGAACTCTTTCTGTTTGTCAAGGTTGAAAACAATTTCTTCCAGAAACTCTTCACGAGGGGGTCTTTCATAATATATTCTTGTGCTTCCCAAAACAGGTTTGTATCGACCCTGAACGGCACGAAGTGTGATAGTAACCCAACCCGGTTCCTTTGAGGCTGCAGAAAAGAAAGAGATAATAAATTAATGATATTTCACACCCGTGATATATTTTGTGGATCAAATATGGGTGGCAAAATTTGGCTGTAAAAGGGCCTTCAAGTTATTTAATACATTTCCTTCACAGCTACACACCGGTCATAAGATTACGATTACAATATCAAATTTCTTGTGCGGACAAAGGTCATTTCCAAGACAGCCACGGTATGGGGCGGAAAGGTCGACCGTCTATGCAGCACCAAAGCAAAAGAAATAAAAAAAACAGAAGGACAAAAAGACACATAATTCTCTGGTGAGATGACTAGTTTCAGGAAGACTAAGACGGTTCTGCTGAACACAAGGCTGAACCGCAAGCTACGTAGACTAGACAGTTGACTGGTACAGAAACTCTGAGCAGGTTTAAGCACGTCACGTCTGAGGGATCTTTAGGGAGAATTTAGATTAAAGTAGTTCCAAAGTTTCCTAGTCGATAAGTCAGATTGATGAGTAGAGGACAAGCAACTTCCTCCATTAAAAAGTCCACTAGTAAACTTACTTAAGGACGAATGTTATCTGACATCGGACCATTGAGGCCTACGTCATGTGTTAGAGAAATTTTCTTTATCTCAGTGCCTGGCAGATCGTAGATCGAGGGACAACTTGTCTCTCGATCTGTTGAGAAATGGGTTGAGAATGGGTTTCTCTTACTTGAGCTAGATGTGGAAGAGTGTGGAAAGAGTGAAGGATGAAAAACCTTCTTTAGCAGCCTGGGGGTGAGGAAGATAGCGAATGAGTTACCAGTGTATAGCAAAAAACGAAATGATCTTTATGAAAGACTGGAGAGACAGAAAGGAGAAGTTATAGCTCTAAAAGAGAATTCGAACCTGGAAGGAGCCTGAACCCTTGCTTGCCTTTACGTAATCAGATAATTTGGTTTTATCATATGAGTTGATAACGTGAATTAGCCACCGTTAGGAGTTTCTAAGTCGACGTTTCGAGCGTTAGCCCTTCATCATTCGCTCTGACGAAGGGCTGACGCTCGAAACGCCAGCTTTTAAACTATTTACGTTGGCCGATTTACGTTATCATTCAGTTTATAATACTAAATTACCAACTTATGATAGGCTCTTGTCCTACCTTCCAGCTTTTTGTGCATAGAAAGTTCAACATTCCGTTCGACATATTTGCACGAAAAGCAATAACAAAGTCATGAAGTAACGTGAAACCGGATACAAACCTGGTATTTTGCCTAGGCATTGACATTCATCATCTTCCGGCAACATTTTTAGTGAAATTTCTCCTATGGAGTCAAAGACAGCCGACACTGATGTAATGGCTGATGACAGCTTTGGAGTGAACGTAAAGACGCAAGGACCTCCTCCCTGCCGGTTAGAATGGAAAAAAAAGTCATCACCCAGTCGAAGTGTCACTAAGGTGCATGAGATTAAAACACCGCTTCGAATATAAATGCTCTAAATTATTATAGTTTTCTTTTGCACTGAGTTTTTTCTCGAGCAAAAAAAGGATCATACTATCTTTGAAAGTTCTATAAATCCTTATCGGGTGGTTAGTTTTGGCATCTAAAAATGGGAGTAAAAATCTATTACCTCTTGAGGGCTCCGTTGAGGATTAATTTGGACGTCGTAAGGGTACACGGTGTCCAGATTCTGCAGCCCACTCGCAAAATCGTCTATTTTTTAAATAAAAAAAGGTAATTAGTCAAATTCCCGTTCAGTTCGTAAGTTTCACAGTAACACAAAATTTACTTTATACAAAGAATTGTTTAGGAGATTTTTCAGTTTAGAATTTGACCAAGATTTTCTTAACTCTTCCTCTGATTGATTATTTACACCGGGTAACTTGAAAAATGCAAAAATCAAAACGAGGAGGCGTTTTTGTGTGGCTTACATAACTTGTATAGCAACATTATGGCACGATCGGATTTATTTATTACTGGGATACCTGTGGTAGCCCAGTCATAAAATGCCTTTGTTTTTTTGTCGTCTTTTTTTTTTTTCCTCCGCCACAAAATGGAAAAATTGCGCAATAGTACCCAGAGGTCATTGGGCCCTCAACACCATGACAACTAACTGTGATCCAATGAGGTGTTCACATGCTGATCACGCGTGTTATCTTGATGATGATTGACGTTGTCATGCACAGACAGGGGCTGGTCACATGACGAATCACGAGATTTTGCTTATAAAACTCTTTGGTCAGTTGTTTTGTATTTCGACGTATTTGGATTGCAATCTTCTGGAGCATTATGGCGCAAAAGCGCAAAATACTTACAGACGCACATACAAGTCGTATTAATCGCGGTTAATCCACACTGAAAGATGTTATTAAGCGGTAATTTTGGAACGGATTGAGTCGCGAACGCTTGAAAGCCATGAAAGCCTTGAATGCCTTGTATGCTAAGTATGCCAATGTCTTAGTTGAAAAACGTTCACTTGTTGTAAAAAGCAAAATCTGAAATCTGAAAACAAACTGCATATACTCTATGTAAATCTATTGCACAACACTACTACCGTGAGACTGAAGAACATAACTATAATGGATGCAAACTGCTTGTGAAGAAAAACGACATGTTGGATTCACTTGATGGCCAGAACGTAGCTACGATAACAGTACGAATGGTATTAATTTCACGATCAGAAAGGTGAATCTTATGTTTGTTTTCATTGTAGTTGTATGGATATTCTTTTTTAATAAATACGTGATCCAAAACCCTGTGTTTTTTGTGTATAATGTTATTATGTTAAATATTGTTTACGCAATTGTCTTGTCACAGGCAGCCCAAGCTCACGTCTTGAGAAAAAGCCAACGATTAATTCATGAACGCGTCACGCGTTGTGTGACTCGGTGTTAAGTTACGAGAGGAACTGCACGTTATAAGGAATAGTATAGGGAACGAAGTATGGTCGATTTACAACGACATATTTCGAAATATGAACATTTTTCTCGTAAAATCAATAAAACTTACTCATGCCCTGTGTATCCGTTGTATTTTCTGGCGATTTCTGCCGTTTAAGCTTGCTTTACCATCACTGTTATTCACGTCATCTACTTTTATTACGTTGGTAAAATCTGTACAGACATCACACCAACCGACTCGCGCGCAAAGTAAGAAGACTATATTAAAGGCTTGAAATAACATTGCGATCGATTTTCATCAAGAAATGGGCCAGGAATATTCCACAATAGTGCAAATAATCGTGAAGGCGGATCGCAGAAAAGCGATTGCGTGACGCTCGGTAAGCTGCAAGATGACATGTTATTATATACCAGACGTAAAAACTCTTCAGATTCTTAGTCTGCATTTTGTACCCACTCTGCAGTCTGCAGTCTATATTTTGTATCCGGTCTGTAGTCTGCTGTACGCATTTTGTAGTAACAGGTATCCGTGGCACCAATACAGTTTATTTTTGGTTACATTTAATCGCAAAACACACATCATCTACCACAAAATACCTGTGAGTGAGGTAATTCGACATTTTCGTTCTTTCCCACATTAATATTCTTCTCTCCTAAACATCACTCACAATGTTTCAAGTAATCCACCCACCCTACAAAAAAGTAACTCTTGCATGCATTGCATGCCTATATGAAATAGGTGTATGCCCTTGGCCAGACTTGAGCGCACTATTTCAGTATACTAGTCCGACACCCATAGTATCACTACACTTGATTCCAAGGATCCAGTACCATCCAGGTATCCCAGTTACCCTGCTCACAGGGTCTAGTTTTATTTGTACACGAGAGTCGAGCGCCTGTCACGTGGTCTAGTATCGTCGTATTGTATGGCCCACTAATCTGAGTTAGCCATCTTGATTGTAAGCGTAGTCTCGAGTTATTTTTTTCAGGTGATCGTATCACGAGTTAGTTCCCGTCACACAAGCCAACACACGCTGACCCGGCTTGTGTTATGAGTGCAGCTTGTGAAAGAGCTTCTACGTTCTTAAAAGACAATATTTAACTGCTTGAATCTTTGGTACGGGTTGTACCACACTGAAAGGAGTTATTGCACTCTCACAAGCCAACAACTATCGGCTTGATCTATCGGTGCGGGTTGCACCACTGAGTGTCTGAAAGTGTTTGAAAGTGTTTTAAAGTGTCTGAAGCCACCTGAAAGTGCCAGAAAGTGAAATAAGTTGTATTGCAGTTGCTTTCTCCTTGCACTGTTGAGAATTCACGGAGGCATATCTCAAAACGAAAAAGTAAGTATGGGAATCTCGATTGAACAATACCGGTCAAGTATTGGCTCTCATGACAATTTCGTGAAAACCAAGGATATCTTATCACGTTTTAATGATCATTGTTGGAGTTTAATGTTTGTGATGTTCTATTTAAATGTATTTTACTTGCCAGTATTGAAACAAGTTGTTGGACAACACAAAATGTGGAATGATGTGATGTTTTGGTTTTCACAAATGATTTTCTACAATGCCTATATTCCATTGCTTATAAGGCAGGCAAATGATGTAGAGGAAAATCCAGGCCCTACAATATTTGATGTCATCGATCCAACAGTATGTGCTGACTACAGTCAAGGAAATGAAGCTCTCTTTGGTGAAAATGTTGTAAGCAATGTGTAGCAATGCCACTTACTGCTATTATTTATCATTACATTGAAGATATCAATTTGTGGACTTCTTCCCTTTTGAATAATATTTTTACCATTGGAAATAATTTGTTTATTTCTATAAGATGTTCTGTCCAGACAAATGATTATTTGCTTTTAACTGATGTTCCATGCATTGTTTCAATGTACAATAATGTATACACATTTAGAATATAGTGAGTCATTAACAGGAAGTTTGTTCATGACATCAAATAATGGGCCATACATGTCTCTTCAAAATTCTCTGACAGAAGTGTTTTCAAATTGTCAACTTAACTACAAGTGTTGTTTGTTAGCGATTGGAATAAATACTGTTGCAGTGATTAAGAATTCAGAACAAAGCTTTAAAATTTTTGATGCTCATTCCAGGGATTTGCATGGGATGCCCCACTCATTTGGGAAATGTACTTTGCTTACCATTGAAGGAATTGAAAACCTTGTATCATATTTGAACATTTCCTGCTTACAAATAGGGTTTGTTCCTTTTGAAATTAAAGGTGTCTTTGTCAGAGATAATGAACTTGATTTGCAAAATGTTCACAAGAGTCCAAAAATTGAACATTTGCCTTTCAGAAATAAAAGAAACCAAACACAACATATGAAAAGGAAGCAAATGTATTTAACTGAAATGCCAGAAGAAAAAGAAAAATGAGTGATTGCTAAACATGAAGATGAGAAATGAAGAAGGGTAAATGAAAGTGAGGAATCTAGGGAAAAGAGGCCGGCCCAGGGAAAAGAAACGTGCAAATGAATCTTCTGAATCAAGAAAAAAGGGGGTTGGGCAAACCCAGTCTCAGTATCAAAGACAAAAAATTGCAAATGAATCAGCAGAATGTAGAGAGGAGAGACTGTGAAACCAATGTCAATATCAGAATGAAACTAGATGCAAAATTGTGTTCACCCAGGCTTTCTGTTGGAAATAAACTTTGTTTTTTGTGCTTGCATTTGCCTAAGTTTTTATGCAATTATTGGTTTATCCTGTAACTGTTTTTGTGTGGTTTACACGAATTGTAAACCACGCTATTTCATGATCCAAGATACTTATTCCTCGCTGGATTTGTCACGGTGAACAGAGCGCTTGTCACGTGGTTTACTATTGTTGAAGATAGGTTCCAGTCTATGCTCGGCTAAGTTACCTAAGCTTCAAAGCTTCAGAAAGTGACCATTTTGCAAAGGTGGCTGTAACACACTGTTGAAGATCGTTTTTTTATCAAGTTTTTCATTCATCTTTGTTGCTTAGATTTCACACGCCGGCTTTCCTACAGTCGGCTTGTCTTCTAAGTGCGGATTACAGCGTGGAGTTGTGCTCTCACAGGCCAACATTATTATTATTGACTCTCTTTGCGGTCACATTTCGCATAAGTCATTTACTGGAACATTTTTTATCCTGAATTTCTGTTTATACCACATGCTCATTGAGAAAATTACTTAACCAGTCCTTTTAGTACATGCAAAGATAAAATTTTGGTTAAACCGCAAAATACCTTACCACCCATGGCATTACATGTCATTGAATACAAATAGAATAAACCATTTTTAGCCAGTAGTGAAAATAGGACTTTTTTTGTTGCCATTAGAAAATCAAACACTGCTGTTGTCTGGAAATTCAATTTGATGGCCTCTTTTAATGAAATTATATCTTCATGTTTACATAGCTAAACCAATAAAAGTCACAAACATTTAATGCCTAACCTGAAACTGCGGTCTGTCGTTAACAAGGTGCTAAATGTCTATTGTGATTGTTTGCAAACTTTGGGGAGTAATCCATTGAAACTCAGTAACAAAGTGGTTTTGCTTTTATTAAAATATGAATAGAAGCCTAGTGCTTTAATGTTAACTGAAATGTGATTAGCGTTATGTTTTCCAAGTTATGGCCAGAATTATTCAGACCTTAACATCTCATGACTTCCTTCAAGCTTGGCAGTCTTCTAGATTCTCTTCATACTTCATAAAATTACACTTTTTTGATTGGCTGAAAATAGCTAGGTGCCTTTTTCATTTATCATTAGTGAAAAAGTAATAACTCATGTACAAAATAATATAAACAAGGCTCAGCAACATAGATCACATTAGAAACCAATCAGATTTACACAAAGTAGGTTCTGATTGATACATGCAGTAGCTGACAAAAATAAACAAAAGCTTGGATACTTTTATGTATATTTATAAGCACTAAAAAATTGCATTCCTGAGTAAGAATTCAGCTGAAGGACAAATTTTGATGGCACACACTTCATTTAGTCCATACTGTCAAATTTATCTGCCATCAGTTTGTTGATTTCCTGTGAATGTGTATTTTTCAT